AGTTCATGTACAGCTGTAGTCTAATGAAAAAAGCCGAGAGCCGTGACTAATTACAGCACCAGCTGTCGCCACACTTAACGCGTCGAGGGACTTAATGGCTTCGATTAATTACCTGTTGTGATCGCTTCAGTGAGCCCGCTATTAAGCAACCACGGGGAGCGCCGGGGAGGATCACGGGCGGATCGATAAGTACAAGCTGTCACTAATAAGTAACAGCTGTGGTTAAATGGATGTTATACACAATGACACTTTCTAGTACACGCTAGTGTTAGTCTTTTATTTTAAACGGCGTACAACAAAGAAATTAAAAGCAAACTAATTAAAATGAATTTCAAACAAATAAATTATACAAAGTAATTAAATTAAACAACAAGTAAACAACAATTAAAAATAAAATTTAAAAATAATAATTTAAAAAAATTTAAAAATTTAAAAAATTAAAATCGAATTACGTAACTCGTTAATAATAATTAAACTAATTATAAAATAAAATTAAAAATTTAAAAATTAAAAAAAAAAAAAATTAAAATCAAATTACGTAACTCGTTAATAAAAATTACACATAGGTGGACCATCGTACTGATGGTCAGTGGGTTCGATCGATATGAACTTGCTGTTAGTGAAAAGCACGGGACCCAACCGGGGGTAAAACCCATTAACGCTTCGCGTTAATTACCATACCCCCTGCTGTTTTCGCTTTAGTGAACAACACATAAATCAATGACGGGTGTCAAAAAATTTAATTAGGTGGGCTATCAAGTTGATGATGGTCCAGTGGGTGCGATCGATATGAACTTGGCCCTTGTACGGTGCTTGATAAGAACAAAGGATCGCTGGTGAATCGATACGTGCCGGGTGCCATTAGCGAGTAACAGGTGTTGTTAATGTATGTTTTAATGAATGTTCTATGTTTGTAACGTTCGTTGTGGCGGAGAATTTAACCTGTTTTTTGTACACGGTCGTTGTAGGGGAGAATTTAAAACATACATACAAACAAATAAACAAACCAACAAATTAAACAACAAAGAAAAGAAATATATCAAATAAATAAATTAAACAAAGTAATTAAAATCAAATTACGTAACTAGTTAATAATAATTTAACTAATTATAAAATAAAATAAAATTAAAAATAAACAAAATAAAAATAATTAAAAAGTAAACAAATAATCAAATTACGTAACTCGTCAATAAAAATAATTAAAAAGTAAACAAATAATCAAATTACAATAAAAATTACACAATATAAACAAAGTAATTAAATTAAACAACAAGTAAACAAACAAATTAAACAAAATAAAAATACAATCAAAGTAATTAAATTACGTAACTCGATAATAAAAATTAATTAAAAATTTAAAAACTCATTAAAACTAATTAAAAAATACATTAAAATTACGTAACTAGGTCAAAAAATTAATTAAAATTTTAAAAACTCATTAAAACTAATTAAAAACGCATTAAAATTACGTAACTAGGTCAATGATTACGTCATAATGTTACTAATTACGTCACAAGGTCACCACCGGTGACCTACTGACCTACTCCCCATCCGCATCCCTGCGCATCCTCCCCATCCCCATCCGCATCCCCATCCCCATCCCCATCCGCATCCCCATCCGGAGTATTTTACTATATCTCATTGTACCAGGCTGTTGCGCCTGCGCCTGCGCCTGGAGTATTTTACTATATCTCATTGTACCAGGCTCCCCATCCGCATCCCGAGTATTTTACTATATCTCGTTGTACCAGGCTGCGCCTGCGCATCCCCCTGCGCATCCGAGTATTTTACTATATAACCTTTGCGCATCCTGGGTGCGCCTGCGCCTGCGCCTGCGGTCCAAAAGTGACCTAATATACTACTCATTATAAGCCTCATATACGCCCACAGTCGAGTTTGAAAATTCATGATTTTCGGGAGACAGACGTCTACCAAAGTAGGCCTATAATAGGCGTATGAATTAAGAAAGTATTTTTGTCATGGCCAATTTTAGGTAAAGCAGCCACCTGTTATGTTATGCCAAGTTGTAGTAAACGTACAACGCGCAATTTTCTTTCTCTCTCCCGGACTAAAGCAATAAAAAAACATAAGGAAGGCATTTGACTATCCTTTGCCCGATGTAAAAACGCTAAACTACATTGTTATCCAGGCCAAACTCTTATTACTAACACATTTCATCTTAACAAATTAATACATAAATCGGCTACATACCTCAAAGAATGTATTGTATGTTGGCTTCAAATAGAATATATAATTACAATGGAAAGATAAACGATATATAAGCTACACAATTTATCATTATTTTCATTACCTCCCTTTCTTTTTCTGATGTTTCTTTAAATATCTTTCTTTATTGCTGGTTTCTTCCCTTGTGGTATTTCGATTCAACTTGAAACAGATAAACCTATTCACAACTAGTTTACACTATTAGTTATGATTAACAGGACATTTTGTTCTTGAATTTTGTTTTACAAGCATTCACATCATTTTAAAAGAAATTACTGCATTTAAAATGAATGTTGTTTAGAGATAATACACACAACACTGGTCGATAAAATGTGTTAATTAATTAGTATTTAAATATTATAAAACATAACGAAACTGAACATTTAAAAAACATGATGTGCTTTATGTAATTTGTTTCCATCCTTTTTGTGCTTTTAGCAACATCATTCGGACAAGTGTACTCATTGTGTACTACATCGACATACCTGTTTGATAATTATTATCTAATATTAAAAATCTCTTTTTATTAATTGTATTAAAGGAATTAAATTATACAATATTAAACTCTCTATGAAATCAATTTGAGATATTGAAAAGTTTCAATAGCTGTGTACATAAATATAAACAAAAATCCGGCAAATACAAAGCAAATCATTTACGAGTGCTGATATAAACGAACATAAAAAATAAATGATAACATTTCAAGGCTAAATTTAGTAACATGATATATGTAATTATGGATATTTATAAACATCAACTTAAACAACGGAAGGATAGGCTACTTAATAATTGAAAACATCTTGAAGTTTTAATATTTTTGTTTTTGTTTTTCCCCTAATAATGGAAATCGAATTTTCTTACTGCTTACTTCCCCTGTGTCGTTTAGTGTTAATTATAAACAACTCAAAACTTTTTGGTATGAAACTAATGTATTAATGTTTTAAATATAAGATTTCATAGCGATGATACCAAATATTTACAGAAAAATCCTACAAATCAATATTAATATTTGTATTTACGTTATAAAAAAACATTATCTTTTCATATCAACACATATAAAATACAACATAATGCGATTTTAAACCAATGTAATGTATACTCCTAAAACCAACAAGCACTACCTACACAAGCTTGTATATGTGGTATTAGGTTCATTTTCATTGAGAACGCTAATTGTTTATTATCACTAAACGGCAGAGATGTTAAAACATATGTCGAAAACTTTTTACAACAAAAAAGACCTTCTATAAAATTTACACTCATCATCCAAAAGATTTTTTTAAAAATGTACTCACATAATACTAGAGCACACTTATGTAGAGATTAAATGTTAGTTATTAATACGCGGTTTCTGTAAAAATAAATTATCGTCAATTTTCTATGAGAACGCTGATAGTTTAGTATCACTAAACGGGTGAGATATATTAAAATATATGTCGGTGCAAAATATAAAATAGCTCTTGTATAACATTCACAAGTACCATCGCTTATCACACTTTCGCAGGCTACTTCGCTAAAAAGCATATTTATATTTTTCTGTATGCTCAATGACCAAACGTTTGTAGGTTAAATGTCCAACCTATTGTAGGTTTTATGGCCAATACATTGTAGGTTTATTGGCCAACACGCAGCAGGTGAATGATTAGTCCGTTATAGATCGAATCACCATCCTATTGTAGGTTTTATGGCCAACACAGTGTAGGTTGAATGACCAAATTATTGTTGAGTTCGTGGCCAAGCCATTGTATGTTGAATGACCAACCTTTTGTTTGCTGAATGACCAACCCGTTTAGATGAATGACCAACCTATTGTAGGTGAATGACCAACCCGTTATAGGCTGAATAATCAACCCGTTATAGATGAATGAACAACCTATTGAAGGCTAAATGACCACCCCGTCGGTCGCTGAATGACCAACCTGTTTTAGATGAATGACCAACCTATTGTAGGTTGAATGACCAACCCGTTGTAGGCTGAATGACCAAACCGTTTTAAACGAATGACCAACCTATTGAATGCTCAACCCGTTATAGGCTGAATAACCAACCCGTTATAGATGAATGAACAACCTATTGAAGGCTGAATGACCAACCGGTTGTAGGCTGAATTACCAACCCGTTATAGATGAACAACCAACCTCTTGTAAACTGAATGCCCATCCCGTTGTATATTTCGTGACCAATCCCTTTCAGCTTAATGACCGAATTATGTTATCATAACAATCCCCTGTTTTAACCAACATCTTCACAACCATCTTTATAAGGGGGGCGTAATAATAAGTGACCAACCCGCCGTCTACTTTTTCATACATCTAAAGTGTGGGTCCACTAATAATATAATTGCTGTGTCCATCTGATTCGATGTTGACCTTCTAGCTCTAAGACAAGTAACCAACTCATATCGTCCCTCAATACCTCCGTAATAAGAATCTGACATCCGTTTATTGACCACATATAACATAACTGGAAAAGCGAAATATGCTTGTCATTAATTACCCTGTCTTAATTCACACGCATTTCGTAACGTTTGTACCTAACATAAATAGCGAATCTCATGTTGCTAGATACTAACTATGTGTTGATATCATACCAACGATTTAGGATGATCATGACTTCTAAGTGTCTATAATTAATTACAAATCCCAATTGTCATTCTATCACTCTCAAATAACAAAAAAATAACTTTTATACAAAGCATTAACCAAATCATCTTAAAACATAATATCCATATTTGTATTTTTTTTAACTTATTTAAACATTTTTTTTCTTATCATCTACATTTCGTCAGCGCACGAACAATCACTCACGGACTCACTGTCTGCATCTTTCTCTAGCTCAAAGTACACATGGTTCTGCACACCCAAAGACTCCGCTCTCTGCAAGTCTGTTCTCGTGTTATTCTCGCTTCCCAAACGTGCCGATTCGGGAACTTCTTTAAAACTAAGCTCCAGATTCGGAAGTCTTCGGTATTTAAAGTTCTCGTACTGTGCCTTTACTGACTGAGAGGTGTCGTAATCGGTTTGTGCGTCGTCGTCGAGTATTAGGTTTTCTGAAGAAGTATTCGATACTTCAGATTCGCTAACGATACTTTTGATGGTTTTATCAATATAAGCATAGTGATCCGTTTTGGAATTTGTCTTGTTGGTTTCATCAGGATAAATGTATGGATCCGCTTTAAGATCAGATTTGCTTGTTTTATCGATGTAAAAATAATGACCCGGGTTGAAATCTGCACCATTTGTTTTATTAGAGTAAGTATATTGATCATTGATAGAATCGACTTTTCTGGATTTGCCTATATAAGAATAATGATCCGTTTGAGAATCTGCAACGTTGTGTTTATCAGTATGAGAATACAAGTCCATATTGGATTCAGATTTGCTCTTTTTATCAATGTAAGAATAATGATCCGAGTTGGAATCGGTTCTGGAATAACTACGGCTTGGACTCAACATGTTGTAAGGGTTTGTTATGATCCGGACTTCCTCGTTTAAACGTGAGTAACAGCCTTTGCTGCCTGAACTTTGACCTTTAGAAGAAAACCTCAGGTCTTCGTACAAGTTAATTTCCCTACCGCTCGTGTAGCTATTTCTCTCCTCTGAATAAGCCTCGTTTGGTTTTCCAGAAACTTTACTAAACATTTCTTCGTCAATTTCGTCATAAGACGCTGTTTTTCTACAAGATCGGACAGGAATATTGTTATATCCTTGAAACGAACTAGCTGCACCTAATTCTTGTGTACTTTTATCAGGTTTACTTCCCTTATCCGAAATATCGAAATCATCTCCCTTGTTGTACAAACCATCTAAGTTGTCGCCCTTATCCCACTGTTTATGTTTCTCGTCATTCATGGAACCATAAGAGCCGTTTGTTTTTAAATTCCCCTTTTTATTCGTTTCTACCGATGTTTTTGGGCTCAGAAGTTTTTTAGGGTTCAGTTGCAGCTCTCCTACGCATTTCGAGTGCGATTCCATTTGGGAAAATATGGTGCCGAACGAATTGGAACTTCTCTGTTCTCGAAGTCTAGTTAGAGGGTCCTGATTTTCTATGGAGTCTTCGGTAGTGGCGCGAAGAACTTGCGATTGTTTGCTTTTCCTACAGACGCATATTCCTAGAATAGTACTGATTAAAGCTACCAATGCAGCGCCGCAGGCTATTCCAGTTATGGTCGCCGTTCTGACGTCATCTTCGTAGGTAGTAGGCAACGTCTTGGGGTTCGAAAGTTTAGTTTTGTAAGAGTGTCGGCTGTGTGGAATGACGTCATCATCGTTTTGGTTATTTAGTGACGTCGAGTGACGAAAATTTGTGTGAGAATCGTCTCTAGAGTTGAATTCATCGGAAGAGTCCGGAGAAATGTTTCTAGTTACAGCAGGATCTACAGGTTGAGCTGACGCGTTGAAGCAGTCCGTCCCGCAATGTGACGCACTGACGCGTTGAGTGTCCAGATTAACGTTAATCCTCCCCGGGTACAGCCAGTAAATCCCCACAAATCCAGTCTCGCAGGTACGCTCGTGCAGCAAGTTCAAGGACTCGCAGAGTTCCAGGTTCTCGCAGACGTTCTCCACGTGCTTCAGGCGGATGCAGCCCATGGTCATGTCGGCTAGGAAGGAGGTCGGGATGGTGCAGACGAAGTTGCGGGAAAACCGTTCCAGGCGGGTCTGGTTCCCGGTCCGCGGGAAGCTGGAGGCGCTGATGAACCTGGCGTGGTAGGAGAAGGCGTGGTCACGTGACAGCACGACGCTGCAGCTCTGGTCTCTGACGTCACACAGGCACTTGTATAACCTGGGGGGGGGGGGAGAGTGATCAGCATTTAGTTATTGTACCTACTTGCGTACTGGTTTTTATGCTATATCATGTGTAAAATATCTACGTTTAGCGTAGAATGATTTTAAAAATATTTTATGAACTAAAAATTAATAAACAATATACTGTTATGATCAACATTACGTACATGGTATCGATATGTTTAATTCAATCAGTCCCACGAGCCGCAAAATGCGGCTTGAGTCAGCTTTACCGTAGGCCCACGAACCGCAAATTGCGGCTCGACACCCCAAGTGTTTGTTTTACAAGTAATTTTTACATGTAAAAAAACATAACTCACAATTATCTTCATTTACTACTATGGCAAATTAATGGGTGTTCAATTTGATGTATAATACGTACATCTTGTTAGAAAAACATAGGAGCTCTAACTGTTTAAGTAGGTGATGGCTGTGTAACAAAATTGGGTCACCAAAATAAAGAGGTCAGGAGGTGGAAACCCCTCTGGTATAGATATTAAAAAAAATGAATTCCGTATATCGAAACTATTTCCAATAAACTGTATGTCATAGTATCATACATCATAGTATCTTAGTCCTTGATTACGAACATTAATTTTATGAAGAAGTATTTCAGACATAACTAGTTTAATCAGATAACAATTTTATATTGTTACTATTCGTTTACAATGGGAGATTACTCGTACATTAAAAAACGCAACAAACACTTCAAACTCACTGAGTGAAAACGTCAAGCGAGAACTTGATGTTGTAGAGTGAGTTCATCTCTAGGGTCAAGGCCATTGTGGACGGTGCCCGGACACTGGGCAGCCAGACCGTCAGGCAGATGACGAGGGCAGATGTTAGGAGTGCTGGATGCGACATGGTCAGTCGGTCTGGGAGAAAAAGTAGTCACAAAATGTAGTAACAAAATGTAGTCATAAAATGTAGTCACAAAATGTAGTCACAAAATGTAGTCACAAAATGTAGTCACAAAATGTAGTCACAAAATGTAGTCACAAAATGTAGTCACAAAATGTAGTCACAAAATGTAGTCACAAAATGTAGTCACAAAATGCAGTCACAAAATGTAGTCAGAAAATGTATTAAGAAAATGTAGTCACAAATGTAGTCACAAAATGTAGTCTAAAATGTAGTCACAAAATATAGTTACAAAATGTCGTCACAAAATGTAGTCACAAAATGTGTCACAAAACGTACTCACAAATCTAGTCACAAAATAAAGCATTCGGCATTTATGTTAATGGTAAATCAATACAGATTTTACAAGTTAATGACCGCAGTTGATATGCTAATGTTGTGCTTTTTTGTGCTAATTTAGAATTTTGAAAACTTTTTTTGAATTGTGTTCATTGTTATCAGTAAATTCTAAAAAAAACAAAAAAAAAAAACAAATCTAAAACACGACGTTATAGCCATTTGTAACCGATGGTAATAAACCATAATAATTAATCAATGGTTGCCTTATGTCTCTGTTGGACGTTTTTACATCAGCATATGATGTTTTAAAAGCGGAGTCTAGCAGTGAGAAGTGGATGTCTTTACCAGCCCATACAATGTAGTAAAATCAACTAAGCGATAACTAATCTCATGCATATTTATAAAGTCCCTTTTTGATCAAATGTTTCTCAGTATATGTTAGCATAGCCAATGGCTGATCTCCAGATCTTAACATCCTCCTATTCATTAATGCAATATTTATAAAAAAAAAAGAACATGCCCCTCTTCTTTTGGTCTTAATTTGTTTTTTAGGTATGGTGTATTTTTATATTGTTTTATTTCAGTTTGTTCATAAATGCTTTTATTTCGTTTTAAAATTATCATACTCCATTTTGCACAATGGATTTTAGATTTATACAATAAAATAAATATGTTCATTTAATGAAGATTTTAAATACATTAACATTCACAGGAAACCTTTTACAAACAAAGAATAAGTATCAAGTTAATATTACACATATAAAATATACAATATTCTGCTAAACAGCTATTTCTGCGTAGTTATTTTAATTATGTGTTTTTTTTTTACATTTCTATTTAATATGTCTGACTTTTAAAATGAAAATTAAATAACAATTGCTTTTAGTGTCGAGATTGAATAAGGCTGACAATTTTATTATTTTCTGCCATCCATTAGCTGACTTTTTGCTGTTAATATTTATTACAAATCACAGCGATTAGATACATATAATTATATATATATATATATATATATATATATATATATATATATATATATATATATATATATATATATATATATATATGTTTAATGTATAAATCAAACAGTTTATAGAACGTTTTTGTGACACTTACCATCCTCAACTTTATCCAAATAAACCCAAAACGACTGGACACATAACTAAATACGAGTAGATGGATTGAATCAATCCCAGTCCAGAGTTCAATGACTGTGTAGAAATTACTGACTTAACACAGCCCATCCGCCTTAGGCCCGTCATCAGCGAGCCTAATGCTCCCCCACCTGAAAGGACCCCCTACCTGAGCAAAGAACTGTACGTGACCGCTGACCGTGTGTAAGTCGGTGAGAGGGTCGACTCCAGGCAGGGAGTCTGTGTAAAGATTGTCATGTTAAGTTTTTAGCGTCCCAGTGAGCTTTTTGTTAGATAGTCATTTAGGGAGGGGGAGGGTTGTGTTCTCTTATACTATCTGTTGTAGTAGTCTATACAACTTATAGTATTATTTCTATTTTTTATCTTTTGAGTTTTATAAAATATTTTGTGAATGATTTTTTATTACAATACATGAACATAAATGAATGAATTTTTGCAATGTGAACTAAAAGTAGCGTAGAATATGATTCACCTTTGTCTAGATTGCACTGTAAATTGAAAATACAATTCCCCAATATATTTAAACTTTGAATGTGAGATTCCCATTTTGATCTATTTCTTAAAGCTCTAAATTTTTCTATTTCAATTGAATATTCCTGATGTTAAAATACGGGTTCCCAAAAAAAAAAGCGCAACGGAAAAAAGCGCAACGGAAAAAAGCGCAAAACAAAAAGCGCAACGGAAATAAGCGCACACGGAAAAAAGCGCAAAGAGAAAAAAGCACACACGGAAAAAAGCGCAAAGAGAAAAAAGCGCAAAGAGAAAAAAGCGCAAAAAGAAAAAAGCGCACACAGAAAAAAGCGCAAACAGACAAAAGCGCACACGGAAAAAAGCGCAAAGAGAAAAAAGCGCACACGGAAAAAAGCGCAAAGAGAAAAAAGCGCAACGAGAAAAAAGCGCAAAAAGAAAAAAGCGCACACAGAAAAAAGCGCAAACAGAAAAAAGCGCAAACGGAAAAAAGCGCAAACAGAAAAAAGCGCAAACGGAAAAAAGCGCAAACAGAAAAAAGCGCACACAGAAAAAAGCGCAAACGGAAAAAAGCGCAAACGGAAAAAAGCGCAAACAGAAAAAAGCGCAAACGGAAAAAAGCGCAAACAGAAAAAAGCGCACACAGAAAAAAGCGCAAACAGAAAAAAGCGCAAACGGAAAAAAGCGCAAACAGAAAAAAGCGCACACAGAAAAAAGCGCAAACGGAAAAAAGCGCAAACAGAAAAATGCGCAACCAAAAAAAACAACGAAAAATGTGCAAAAGAGAAATTTAGCACAAATACCTATATCGACTAGATGACACATTTATACATGACTGTTAGGGCTGCTGTAAGAGTGTCGTGTTTGATCACGTGATCTACTACCATTTAAAGCGTACCACTACCATGTGCATTCCCCTCACCACGATACAGGCGATAATCGCTTTACACAATGCCTATTATTTTCTTGGTCAATAATTATTCAACTACTATTCTCGTATAAATAAACATAAAACTATCCTTGATATCGACATTACACGAAGTATCTCTCACATTCTCCCTAGTCCGAACTACCTAGCTTGCATACCATAACTACCCGTTCCTATGGCAAAACTTCACTCTCTTTCATCCGCGTCATCTAACATGCATTCGTCATATTTCTCGCAACAACATTCATTCGCACCAAAATAACAATTATGTATTTAATATTATTTCACATCATGACGCACTTACCTACCTACCTACTACCTACTACCTACCTACCTACTCACCTACACACTTCCCCACCTACCCTCCTACACACCTACCTACCTACCTACCCACCTACCCACCTACCCACCTACCCACTTACCCACCTACCAACCGAAAAAGGATCGGCGAAGTTTGTTAGTTTCGTAAACTGTACTTTTTTTTAATGAAAATTCATTGACATCATTGACATATGTTACATATATGTTACATTTTGCGACAATCTTAATTAGTGCGTTGGGCTTGTATGAAAACTCACTTCGAACTAACTCAATTACATGCTATTTATTTTAACGGTAATCGTCACCCAACTGTTGTGATGTGAGGTGAGGACAGGTTCGACAATAAACCAACACGAAAGTACGAAAGAGACATAGACTGCCTGTTAGAGAATGGACCCCCTAACTTTCCTAACCCCACCATTTATTATACCCTACCTAACCTCTAAATTTCTTGCGCTATATGTCACTTCCCTCCCAATCGTTCCTATTCTACAGAAGTGTGTGTACTATATATTTACATTCTTTAATCTCAATATAACTAAAATAGACTATTGTTTGAAGGGTAATGAAAACATGTAAACATACACTTTTACTAGTGTCCGCCCCCCCCCCCCCCTAAAAATGTTGACCCTACCCCCCCGAAAATCCCCTTCCCCCCCCCCCTTTAGCCCCGGAGAAAAAAAGTCTGGAAGAAACACTGCATGTAGCTTATATAACAGAAGAGCTATGGTTGTTTATATCATTTTGCATTCGTGCATTGAATAATTATTGACCAAGAAAATAATAGGCATTGTGTAAAGCGATTATCGCCTGTATCGTGGTGAGGGGAATGCACATGGTAGTGGTACGCTTTAAATGGTAGTAGATCACGTGATCAAACAAGACACTCTTACAGCAGCCCTAACAGTCATGTATAAATGTGTCATCTAGTCGATATAGGTATTTGTGCTAAATTTCTCTTTTGCACATTTTTCGTTGTTTTTTTTGGTTGCGCATTTTTCTGTTTGCGCTTTTTTCCGTTTGCGCTTTTTTCTGTGTGCGCTTTTTTCCGTTTGCGCTTTTTTCCGTTTGCGCTTTTTTCTGTTTGCGCTTTTTTCTGTGTGCGCTTTTTTCTGTTTGCGCTTTTTTCCGTTTGCGCTTTTTTCTGTTTGCGCTTTTTTCCGTTTGCGCTTTTTTCCGTTTGCGCTTTTTTCTGTGTGCGCTTTTTTCTGTTTGCGCTTTTTTCCGTTTGCGCTTTTTTCTGTTTGCGCTTTTTTCCGTTTGCGCTTTTTTCTGTTTGCGCTTTTTTCTGTGTGCGCTTTTTTCTGTTTGCGCTTTTTTCCGTTTGCGCTTTTTTCTGTTTGCGCTTTTTTCTGTGTGCGCTTTTTTCTGTTTGCGCTTTTTTCCGTTTGCGCTTTTTTCTGTTTGCGCTTTTTTCCGTTTGCGCTTTTTTCCGTTTGCGCTTTTTTCTGTGTGCGCTTTTTTCTGTTTGCGCTTTTTTCCGTTTGCGCTTTTTTCTGTTTGCGCTTTTTTCCGTTTGCGCTTTTTTCTGTTTGCGCTTTTTTCTGTGTGCGCTTTTTTCTTTTTGCGCTTTTTTCTCTTTGCGCTTATTTCTCTTTGCGCTTTTTTCCGTGTGCGCTTTTTTCTCTTTGCGCTTTTTTCCGTGTGCGCTTTTGTCTGTTTGCGCTTTTTTCTGTGTGCGCTTTTTTCTTTTTGCGCTTTTTTCTCTTTGCGCTTTTTTCTCTTTGCGCTTTTTTCCGTGTGTGCTTTTTTCTCTTTGCGCTTTTTTCCGTGTGCGCTTATTTCCGTTGCGC